ATTCTGAATATGAGCGACTTTTCCTTTAAAGCTGCAGCTGCCCAAAGTTCTCAGTAAAAACGTCTGTGCTACGGGGCGCTGTCCAAGGTGCTGAGTGTTCCTGTCCATCAAAAACTATTAGTGGATTTCTCCTTCCTTTTTTGGTTTGTTTTGAACTGATTCAGATAAAAATTAGACAAAGAGAAACCGTTCAGACGCCCAGAAGAAGCAAATCTGGGTCGTTTAGCTGAAAGCATGCATCCTCAGCCGGACGTGCCGCTGACATCAGCGAGTAAAGCGGCTCACCAGCATCAACGAGCAGCTGCAGGCACTCCCTCTGACCGTACTGAGCGGACACAAACAGCGGCGTGATCCGGTGGTCGTCATGTGCCTCCAGGTTGCAGACGGTAACCAGAAAGCGCAGGATGTCGCTGTGTCCCTGAAAGAGGAAGGACACGTTTGACCCAGAGCCTCAGAGCGAGCAGCCAAAGCTCCGCCTGTGGATCACCTTATAGGCCGCCTGATGCAGGCAGGTCCAGCAGGAAGCTGTGTGAATCCCGTCCACCTCTGCTCCCTTCCTGACCAGCAGCTTCACCACCTCTGTGTGCCCGCCGTCCACAGCTGCGGAGAGAGAAACGGTTTAAAGCAGAGAGGCAGGCCGATGCTGGGGTGGCTGGGAGGCGGAGCCTAAGGTCACCTGCATATAGAGGACAGGAGAGGTCATTGGTCAGCTGGTTGACGTCTGCGTTCGCTTTCAGGAGGAGTCGGACCACCGCCACATGTCCTCGCCGCGCCGCCAGGAAACACGGCGACTCGCCCTCATGAGTCAGAGAGTTGACATAATCCCGACGACACCTGGAGGATCTGGCTGCACGCCGAGCGGCGGAGGAGACGGAGCAGAGCGTAGAGGTGAGCGTCCACAGAATGACCACTGGCCGAGCAGCAAAGACTAAAGCTGCGCTGCTTCAGAAAGAAATGAGACTTTCCAGAAGATGAAAGCAATCAGCAGCGATCAGCTCCCATCAGACTAAACACCTAAATGAAGCTTTTAGGGAAACATGGCGAGAGACGCTGCATCCAGTCCCTCCCAGCATCACACACAGGATCCAACTAACAACCTATAAATACTTCCTTACCTTCAGTAGAAATCCTGGCTCTCTAGACTTTACTGGAGGATTTATTCTTTATAAAAACTTGTTCCTTCTCCTTACATTTTAAAATTTTGTTTCATTTTAGCTCATTATCATTCTGGCCTGTTGGTATTTAAATAAAATCCATCAAAATAATTAGTTTCATCCAGACAATTAATTTCTCTGTGTTTGGACTCGGTGCTGCCCCAACCTGTTGCTCACCACAAACCAAAATAAATCGTTTTTCCAGATGATGCAAAGTTAAATGTGACTCTGTTACCATTAGTTATAAAACTAAGAAAATGAAGTCTGAGAAAGTTATCATCTAGAATGATAGAAAAATGTTCCTTTAATAGAGTAGAGCAGTAAAACAGTTTTTCCTGCATTTCTTTTATACTTTAAGTAGAATTACCAATTAAAAAGGTACTTTTACACTTTTACTGGAGTAAAAAGATTAAGTTGATCCTGTAACTTCTATCAAAGTTTTTCTAAACAGCAGGATTTACAGTGGAGGAATAAACATGAATAGTTTGGACAGGTCTGGCATTACAGGCAGGCAGCCGTTGGACTGATGTGTCCACCACCGGCTAACCTGAAATTAAAACTCATTTCACCTGAAACCAGCTGATTGCATCGACTCATTGACTCTTCAGCAATCCCTCACACTAAGCATGCTTGTAGCGACAGTGGAGAGGAAAAACTCCCTTTGAACAGGAAGAAACCTCCAGCAGAACCAGGCTCAGTGTGAGCGGCCATCTGCTGAGGCCCACTGGGGTTCAAGGAGACAGAA